CTGCAAGTTGGCCGTGTAGTTTGTTGCATGTTGCACATAAAACAAGAACCAGCAGGGGAAGTTGTACCTAAGACAGCATGGACAACCAACTAATGCACTCACTCGTGTGAAGCCAACGCCCCTACCCACTCCCATTTCCCATTTCGCCATTTAGTTGGCCATGCAACTCGCTGACTTGCTCGACAAATCACACGAGCTTCACTACGGGTAGCAAATGAATCCGAGCCCAAGTTTCCCACCTGCGTAACTTTACAAGTGTTGAAAGCAGGTAAGGAATGGTCTTGAGCAGATAATGCAGGCGGACTAGAAGTCAGTTAAGTCCTAATGTCGACCAATAGGAATGAGCTTTGTCCACAGTGACTTAGCATTTCGATCAGGAGATTGTAAAGTTGAAATTTTTTATTTTTTAGATGCTATTTCATTGTGGGTTTGCAGATAATCTGCGCATATTTTTTATTTCATTAAATTTTATCTATCAATTTAAAATCCTATTTTTATTTATTCCTCTTTGTTTTTTTAACTTGATCTACCTCTTTATTTAGTGTTTGTTTTGCATATTTTATAAGCTTTGTATAGCTTTTTTTACCTGCCATTGAATTTTATATGATACAGCAAGTGTGACAACAGAAAAAGCTTCACACTTGCTAAAATAATAAATAAATTTAGAATGAATTTATAAATTATTGACGAATTTAGACTATTATTATTTTGCCATTAGTTCTTCCTTTACATTAGAATCGTTTTGAAAAATATTTAGTTCCTTATTAAATTATACTCATATTAAATTTGAGTAAGCCTTAAAGGAAATCATTGATATTTGTGTGTTACCCATCCCGACCTTTATTATATTTTATAGCTAACTCTGATACGGTGTACACAAATCATGAGTTAGGCGTTGTCCCAGGAAGGGACACACTCCCAGCGGTCGCCAAAAGGTCTAACTGTGTTTCCACAACGTAACGTTAAGGATTCCGTGTACACTCTCATCAATATCATATTAATGCTCGGCTGCCAACAAACAATTGAAAACAATACAAAATACTTAGGAATTCCTATGCTCCTCAGCCTGTATTTATTCCCTGCCTGGTTCGTGATGTGTTTGTCTGGTTGTTTGGGACCGTGTGGATGCCTCAAGTTTGGCCTTGTGCCAGAAATCCTACCTTCCTACCTACCATTTTTATACATGTATAGTTCTGCCATCCCTTTTTGGGAACGGGTTTTGTTTTCGTCTTAGGAAGTGGATACTCAAAATGGAGAGGGCAGACATACTTCTTGGTTTGGGCCGTTATGCATATTTTCCATTTGTTCACCTCTGGATCTGTTCTTCGAATGCCAGAAATATGCCGCAAGTGCTGTCAATTGTTGATGATGTGGGAATTGTTTGAACCTAATGTTTTTAGGGAAGCAATAAATTCGGCAGGGCTTTAATGTGCTGCTTTTGCTTTTCTCTCGCTTGAAGTAGGGGAGAGTGGGGGAATTTCGTCAGCATTTTTTCAAAGCTATTTTTTGTCCATCTTGAGACACGTTATCATATTTCTATTTTTATTGTTGAATGCGGTTAGCACCAAGCTTTAAAATGTGACATTCCCCTATTTTTTTAATTAGCTTGGTGATTTATAAAAAAATAAAATGTAAAACCAATATACTGGGGCAATCTCACCACACAGGGGGGTAAAATCACCACACAACTGGGGAAATTTCGTCACCTGAAAAATGTAGGGAGTTTAACGCCTGAAAATATGCTACACTGATCAAGCGTACCATTTTTGTTGACGTCCTATATTTGTTGCTGCTGCTGGTAGACTGTTCGTTAGCCAGCTCGTCAAATATAAAAATATGTATTTAAAATAGGTGCGAATTTACCCTTAGCGTAGGGTGGCGAAATTTCCCCAGACCGTACTTTTTAGAAATAATTATTTTTCTTGCGAAATTAGGCGCGAAGTTAAAAATCACTGACGCAGAAATGCACATTATAGCACTGTGCATTATATAAAAAATCGTGTATCTTATTCCTTTTGAATTGTGGCATACAGAAAAAATTTCGTCGAGAACTAAATGTAGCTTTTGAACTGTTAAAACACATTTAATATTATAGCTTAATTATCTTGGCCTTCTGTGCAAAACAAATGCATTGGTTGTGTCTGGCCGTCTTGAAGGACTAAAACAAAAAAATTATATATTTTTACGACTTATGGATTCCGAGATATTGCAGGTGACGAAATTGCCCCTGTTACGAAATTCCCCCACTCTCCCCTACTTGAAAACAGAAATATATAATTTAAATATTTCTGATAAACGACCTATCGATGAAAAATCTTAGCGAAACTAAGGCTCATCTACCTATTAATTTAAACTTAAACATCCATTATAATACATAGGTACAGAAATAGATAACATAATAATATATGGAAACTAATTTCGGTTTTCTTACTTTTTAACGCATGTTTTAAAACTGGCAATAACTTAATAAAAAAGTTTCACGGTAATTTAATTCAGAAAAGTCGAGTCCGATTCCGCATTAAGTGGGTTCAAAAACAAAGAAGTCAGAGAGAGTGTCCACCGAGCTTAAAGTTCTTAAACTGAATTGAGCTGGTCATGTCCAGCGCTTCTGGAGGGCAGTTCCGTGCTCCGGCTCCGGCGCTACATACACGATGGAGATTGGGAGGTGGCAGATGAGCCCCATCCTGTTGGCAACAACATCTTGCTTGGAATTTACGTGATGTACATTTAAACGCGGGTGAGCAACCGGAATTATGCGTCCACCGGGTCTGGAGCTGGTGCAGCACTGGGAGTCCACAGATGGGTTGGATTGAGGGGTAGAGGTGGAGGTGGAGGAATGGGATTTTCGAACAGTTTGCTAAATTGGCATGGCCAGACTGAAGGCAAAAGGCACGCCTAGGTGAGCGCGCGCCCTCCAATATTTCTGGCTCGACTGCGATGGGTCTATAAGTATGCTGGAGCAACGGCAGGGAATCGCACATCTGCTGAAAAAATTGATTGATGATTGATGGCAATACAAAAAGGACGACGGATGCCTCCCGCACATGAGCGTTTTCGGGGAAAGGTGCATCCACACTCACATCCAGAAATAGAGGGAAAAAACAAAATGGAAGAAAAGCGCAATTTCACATGTGTATATACTCGTTTCGGAGTGGGCGGCACTGAATGTGTGGGCGGCTTTACGGGTTTGGTTTGGGCTGGCACAAATATTCATGAGCAAAATGCCGTGTGCTCGTCTCCCGTCGCGCGGCTCAGACAAAATTTGCATAAATTTGGAATTTGAAAAGCTATCCAGCCTGATGGAAATGATGACGAGAGCAGCACACACCTAAACACCCACTTCAAACAAACTGGGGAAGCGACGATGAAGATGGAACGCCCCCAGTCAGTTGTGGCACGTTGTATTAAGGCATTAAATGTTTGCCACACACATTGCTGAACAAATATGTTGAAGCCTGAAATGGGAGCGGAAATGCCAGCCGACATTGCTGAATTATTATCGAGAGTTTTGGCTAAGAAGCCTTGTACGTCCCATTTCGCAGAACACTGATAGAAATGACAAAAATGTTAGCATTTATTCGCTAATATGTTCACTTGCAATATGACATGGTTTTAGACAGTTAATAAACATTTGTCTAGCATACGCGTAATAAAACGAGCAAATATACTGCTCGTCAAAAGAATGTTAGAAAATTTGCAGTTTTTAATTTAATAAGTTTTATATGAATAGGATCGTTGGGGATATTTTTTAGGTTGGGACACTTTTTGTTTCCGTTTAAGAATGTTTCCCTTTTGTAAACAACAAATAATATTTTGTTTAAAAACTCCTCACATCTAAAAACTATTTATTTCTGTTAACTTAATAAATTGTAGTTTGTTTTTACATTGATTCCCTCTTTTTGACAACAATAAAATTAAAACTAAAAACACATTTTCCCTAAATTCAAAACAAGAGAGAACGCTATAGTCGGGTTGGTGTCCCGACTATTTAATACCCGTCACTCAGCTAAAGCGGACGCTGTACTCGGGTTGGTGTCCCGACTAAAGGGAGTGCGAGGGAGATAGATATATATAGATATTTTGATTGCGTATAACTTTTTAATGAATGGTCCGATTTGAAAAATGTCTTCTACATTTCGATAGGTATAAATATGCACAACAAAATTGCATTTATACTTCTCGGAAATCTTTAAAGATGTGGGCGCAGGACACATTTTAAAATCGTTAGTGGGCGATTGTGGGCGATTGTGGGCGTTAGAGGGGGCGTGGCGCTCGGCTGAAATAAACTTGCGCTGCGTAGGAGGCCCAAGAATTTGTGTGGAAAATCTCAACCTTCTAGCTTTTGTAGTTTCCGAGATCTCAGCGTTCATACGGACGGACAGACGGACATGGCTAGCTCGACTCGGCTAGTGACCCTGATCAAGAATATATATACTTTATGGGGTCGGAAAAGCTTCCTTCTATCTGTTACATACTTTTGCACGAATACAATATAGCCTTTTACTCTACGAGTAACGGGTATAAAAATGCACTTTGAAGAAAGCAACCTCTTTCAGTTCAAAGTTTTTATTCTAACTTTTAAATTTAAAAAGATTTTTTGGATATTGTTGGTTTTTAGAATTTCATAAAAAGTGGAAAAAAAAATATGCTAAAAAATTATACAAGACTTTCACAGCTCTAACCTTATAATTCTCTTACAAAAAGTGTTGTCAATAAGGTTGTTAGTCAAATAGGCAATCAAAGCTTATTTGATTATTAAGGGCTGGAAAAACTTTAACCCGATCGGAAAAAGGACATGGCGAGATTATTAAGAGTACAGACTTTAACTAACATAATAACAAAATTTTTTAGATATTTAAAAAACAAGACTTCAAATCAATAATAAAAATATATTTAGATATTATCGATTTTTTTGTTCATTTGTCCCCAGCTATACTATGAGTCCTAAACTTTATTCTAGTATTTGGCTTAGACTGTGTGAGTCACCTACCAATTTTCTGTGACTAATTTGGCTCGGCAATTGCTGCAGTTGCTTTTGCAGCTTGTGCGATTGCAGGTGACCTGTTGGGCCTGATATTGTTCCTGGATTGCTTGATGTTGGGTTTCTTAATGATGTTGTTGATGATGTTGTTGCTGAAGTGGCACTTGCATCGCTGGCAGCGGAATGCAATTGCTGTTAGCAAATTGCCTGCGTTTTGCAGAAATCGCGCAAATTGTGGCGGCTGCTCAAACTGAGGCGGCCGGAACTTGATGGCTGATTTTGTAGTGGTTGCTGTTGGTGGCGTTGCAGCTGTAGACGAGGGTAAGGATATCCAAAGGATTGAGGATTTTGCTGCCAGCGCAAGCGCCGCACGTTTAGGGCGCCACATGGATAGGCAACCTGCAAGAGAATTGATGAGAGATTCAAGAAAGAACACAACACGAATTGCTGACAGATATCCGAAGAAGCTGTCACACAGGAAATAATAAAAAAGAATGCACATTTACGGTCAATAAACAACAACATCAATGAGGGATCACAACATCGATTGGTAAATGGTTATATTTATGAATTAAACGGAAATCATGATAACAGATAGTGGTCTTGCGATATTAGAGAGGCTTATGAATATGTAGTAGTAGCAGTAGAGTAGTAGAAACAACATCAACAACAACAACATCAATTATAGAACAACATCAATATATTGGAGTCAGTAACAACATTGATTCTTATATGTAATAACTTATTTGCGTTTCCCCAACAATATTTAATAGTATTTGATTAAATTTATTTCTTGTTCTTTCCCAGCTTTATCCAAAATCATACACACACACACTTTAAGACTTGATCAGAGACTTAGAGACATTCAAAAAGAAACATTCCGACACACTTAAGAATACAATTCACTTACCTTATCTCATTATCCTAGTTTAGGTTCCATAAAACATACCATAAATACAGAGGGGTGACGTAAATAATGTGATTAACGTACTGCTAGATTAGGGCATGCACAATTACTAAAATTTTTAAAAATAATAATGCTGAAATCAAAAATTAAAAAAAAGTATAGGGAACAATTTTAAAAGATCTCCGAAATTCAGAATCCTTAAAGAAAATAGAGAAAGCTGGAAAACTCAGTATACTTGGAAATTAAACGAAATAAAATAAAAAGCATGATCTGTCACTATTGTGGGATTTATTTTCATTGTTGGTGATTGAATAACGTGACGAGGTAGCATAACACCCACAAATACGCATGGCAGATATACAGCACCAATGCAAATCGACATTTTTATTATGGTGTTGGAATATGTCATGCTCCTTTCCCTGCAATAAAAATGTCGCGCATTTGGCTTTGAAATGCAAAAAAATGTTCAAGCGTTCCCACTCCAACCTTTGTGACGGAACATTTTCGAGTTGAGGAGCTACCAGTTTTCTAATAAAATGTATTTTTACACATGCGCATGCATAAAATATTCCTCTTTGTAGTCGGTGTCGGCAATATTTCATGGGCTTTATAAAGTTGAAAATTGTTCCTTCTTTGGCTCAGACAGTTTTTATGGCCGCAGAAGAATGGAGTCAGAGGTTGGTTCTTCCAACATTAATCAAACTCTTTGTCTCAGTTAGGCAAAACTTATAGGAGGCATTAGTATAAATTTGTTTATAAACGTAATTTTTGTACATTTTGAAAAAAAATGAAAACTAAACTAATTTTACAAGTTGAAAGAAGGCATATGTTTACTCAGAATCATCATAATCAGGGGTGTCACAAAAATCTCTTCCAACCGAAGACGGTTGGATTTTGCATTGATGCAAAGTTCGTAAGAACTTTAACGGATTTCGGTTGGAAATAATTTCTGTGACACCTCCGAATACAACTTTTTAGTTGTTTAGATAAGTTTTTAGGTAACTCGAGGCCGACATGGCTTAGACTTCAATAGGTCCAAGACGTCGACATTATGCCAACACATAATTAAGAGCGAAGATGCTTACCAAGCATGCAGCGCTATAACTGGTTGGGAATTTAAGCGTCGCCAGAGCGGTAAAATTAGAGAATCTGATTAAGTTTCTTTAGTGTGTTGGAATTTTAACTCTGCCTTTTTGTTTATATATATATTCTAGGGTCGTAGATTTTATTTTTATTTAAATAAATATAAAACATATTGACTCTTAAATTTCAGCGAAAGTTATACATCTTAGACTTGGCGATTGATTCGATTCAACTGCTCTGTATATGTTACAGACAGTTTTCTTGGCACAGCTGGCCATCTTAATTAATTAACTGATTTGCAAAAATAATAATAAAACTGTCAGCCGCAAGAGAGAGCCGACAGAAATCTCCTGTCCGATTCAACATACTATGTGGCAAATATTTTTTTTCTTATCTTAAATTCCTCTTGGCCAGGACACGGGGCAATCTCACTTTCTCGCTCACTCCGACTGGCTGGCTGGCCATTGGCAGCGGAGTGGCCGTGGTCCTTGTTTTTCTGGAAACTGGCATCCGCCAACACTTAATTAAAATGGCATCCGGCCGAGGCGGAAAAAATCCTGAGCGGCCCAACATGCCTCCCCCGCAATCTCCGTCCACCTATATATGTATGTGTATGTGTATGTGTAGACCATCCATCGCATCGCGTCCAGTGGTGTGAGTAAGTGAATTCGTTTCCCGCTTTTGGCCGTTGATTGATATGCCAATGAAGCGAACGCCAAGCTCAGGGCTCCTATTCCATGGCCAGACGGATCCCAGAGACCAAGGAAAGAATGCGGAAAAAATCTAGTTCGTTAGCTCTTATGCAAAGCGGGACAATAGTGTACACTGCGGCCCAATCGCTGGCGCAAAGTCAACAAATGCAGATGGGGCCAGATAAATTGCCAAACTGAAGCGTCCAGCACCAAAGCGGCTTCGGGCCCAATAGGAATAGCCAGCTTGGCTCTTAGCTCAGTTAGTTGCGGTTCGGTTCTGTTCAGTTCGTTTTCGGCAGAGGCCTGGAATGGATGGCATGGTCAGCTATCGTCTGGAGTAACAACACAAATTTTTGCTTTTTTCCCTGCCGAAACAAAGTTTAGGTGAATAATGAAAAGAGGAGTGGCATCCGAAAGGTGTGCTATAAAATCAAAGGGATTTTTCACCAGCTCAGTAATACTCTATTCTCAGAGTCAAGCTGAAGTCACTAGTTTCTAATGATAAAATCTAGTCGTTTTTGGAAAAAATGTGAAAATCAATAAAAAAGTTATATGGTTAAACCCAATTTAATTTCGCTGCAAACCAAAGTACAAGATTTAAAACATTCAAAGCCTTTTTTAATCATGAATAAGGGTATTCAAAGTTCTTAAATTCCGGAATATCTACAACTAACCACAAAATCCTTTCATTCATGAATTGTGCTACATCATGGGCGAGCGTGATTAATTGCAGGCTGTGGTTAAATCCTTTTTAGTCCTGATTTCGGAATTTTTCAGGTTACCTCGGCTAGTTCTTTTTATTTTCTGTCCTCTTTGGGTAGGTGTAGCAATATGTAGCAATATGGGAAAAAATTTACAACAGCCCATGTAGCTGGGTAAATAAAAATTCCTCGTTAGGAAAGGTTCAATTAATTTTTGGCTTTTTTAAAAGGAAATTTAAATCAGTTAAGTTCACTCTATTTAATTGTAAAAAATACAGTTTTACAATTTTTAAAAAGAAACTACAAAAATTTTGATAGAGAGGATCATTTTTCACTAAAGTATATAACATTGAGGAAAATATAAAATCATTTAAATCCAGACCAGGAGTCTTGACCCTTTCTGCCCAACATTTCTTCAACTTCCGTTCCTAAGGCTTTTGAATTATCAGCGACGGCCAGTCCCTGGCATATGTGCAAAGTTTCTGCCCACTTTCCGTATTTGCTTCTTCTCTATCTACTTGGCAGCAGATATTTTTCATTTTCGAAAAAAGAAAATTATGACTTTTCCCACCCAGTTCCTGGCTCCGCCTTCTTTTGCCTCGTTTTGGGAAATTTGAATACGACAAAGCAGCGCATAAGATTCAGATAAAGCTAAACTGCCAGTTGCCATGAAAAGTTGAGCGGTGTTTCAGGCTTTTTTTCGTACGGCCGCAGCCTGACTTTTTATTTTTATGCTAAACTGTTTCCTCTTTGCAAAAGGCCGTATTTCGTTTGCGCAAAAAACTGGCTGCCAAACTGAGGCACAAAAAGGAAACCGGAAGTTATATCGTCCTCCGGATGATTACTGCACTTTCTGTGTGCAAGTTGCCCTTGCTGAAGTGGCCTCGAGTTGAAGGATCCTTCACTTATCAAAGCACTCGATACGTTAATTAAAAGATCAGGAGGGGATTTTCTCAAGGCATGAGCCCTTCTAACTCGTCTCGATTTAATAAAACAACTCTTGATTATGCAACAGGAAGAGTGGTTTCCTCTTTCCGTCTCCAGCTGCCAAACAATGCAAAGGGAAAGGCAGGGGAAAAGAACAAAGGTGGAATTCCTCCGACTCGTCCTCAAGTTTTAATAAGTAGCACACATGCAGCAACAGTCGACTTCTTGCCACACACAGTGGCACATTGGCAAGTGCACAAGAACAAGAACAAGCATAAGCACAAGAACCAGAATGGAAAATGACGAGGCTAAAAGTTCTGAAAGAAGCCAGAGAAGAAAGATAAACTCTTCCCTATGCAAACCGGCCGGGCCTAGACTAAGAAAATGTAATAAATTTCCACACAAAAACAGCCACAAATTTCCCTCTCAGTGTTTGTCAGAGTAAACAAAGAAAATATGAAAACAAAAGGCTGAAGGAGACGATAGGACGGGATTGAATGGACCAGCCTATCTATCCTTCTATCTAAAGGAGCGGTGGCGAAGGGTGTCCTCCAGTTTGTACAACTCGGCTGCAGTTCACAACATTTTGCATATTCAATAAACTGCTTCTTGCCGACTTGTATTTAGTTTGATTTCCTTTTGAAGACTTTTTTTGTCGTTCTAAGCAAAATTAAATTTCAGTTATGAGTTTTTGGACCTGGAACAACCAGAGGCGGGCACACAATCAAGATTTGTTGTTTCTTCCAATAATTGAAATATTGTGAGGTCAGGAAAAATAGCCTCCAATTGGGGGACGAATCAAATATTATGTTTTATTTATTGTCCTTCGACTATTCAAATAAGTTTTCAAAATTTAATTACTTTTCCAGCCACAAAACCGTAAAATCCAGCGGGTGGGGGATAATCAACACGCCAAAACATGTGTTCCCTAAATGCTCTTACATGGTTTCCCATGTTCGGCGTTTTAAACTGAAACTCAATTAGGGTAAACATTAACAAACATAAATCAAAAGCAAAACAAAATGTATCGATATTTTGGACAGTGAAAATTGCAAACCATTTTCAAATATTACGCTTGCCGTTTTCAAGCCCTCTTTTGTCTGCCTGCCATTAAATTGCCACAACCAACGCATTTAAGAATTGGCAGAGTTTTTGCTGAAATAATTTAGCACAATTGCAGCGAATTCCACAAACAACGAAACCGAAAGCAATCAAAGGGGATTTGCACTATTTTTCTGTGGGGCATGCAAGTTCGAATTTTTTGAGAGCACAAAACACGGGTAAAAATACATCACAGGGTAAATCCCGGATAGGGGGATATTTTTTCTTATTTCCCTAAATATTTTATTTGGGGTGAGTGTAGTGACAGAGAGGTACCACAACAAATTATAAAAACAACACTCAAACAATGTGCATTTATAGGAAAATTATATGTCTAGCTACTTAATTGATGAAATCGAGGACATTGCCCCTGGTCACTTACCCCTGCTATGGACTGCTTGTCATTGTGCAGCGCGGCCTGAGCTCCCGACGTGGGCGACGTGGCAGGCGTGGCCGAGGTCTCCGGACTGAAGTAAGTCAGAAAAGCGCAACCTGCAATGACATTCATTAAATTATTAATCGATAATGATGAGGGTAAAGCGAGGAATGTGCATGGCTTGGTCGAGGCGAAAGGATATGATTCCATAACTATCTCTGGGATTAAATTAATCTATTTTTTCCGCGAACAGCATGTTCGTTTTATTTCACAATTAAAGCCCTGCCGCGTGGAATGTCCCGGTGAAAGGGATTGCAGGGACTGCTAACCACCACACACATATGTCGGTTTGCGTGTGCGAAGCGTCAACGTGTTTAGCACAGTTTTGTGGCCATTTTCATAAATCCGTGTAATTTTCCCCGCCGCTTGCTTTCCCATTGTTTGGTTGTGGTGGCCCGCTAGGTGTTGTTTCGAGGACGGGCAGGGGGATCCTGTCTCTGCTCCTCATTAACTGCTCAACTGCCGCCCCGTATTTCACCTGCACGGCGACAGGCTCGTGTCAGCCTAAACCGATTTAGCAACACATATTCCACCAGCACGAAGCCAGCCCCTGACATGTGGTCATACCCAGAGCACCCTGCTTCCCCCATTGACTGTCTGTTCCTGCACCGGCTGCACAGAAAGAAATAGTGCAAGTGCTTTTTCGAAACTGTTAATGTTTTTGTAAAAGGTTTTTGAATCTTTTTACAGAAGTGTATACAAAAGAGCTGGTCGATTTGGGAGAACAAAGATCGTATAGAGGGAACGTAATCCTTAAAGGATTCTATGCAATATTGGGGAACAAGCTTATGATTTAAAAGCGAATGAAAAATACTTTTTTTATAGGTTATCATAGTAGCCAAAACAGATATTACTGAATTTAAAGCCACTATTTTTCTTGTTAAAAGGTATACTATATAAGAATTCTTCTTTATTTTCTTTTCCAAGCATCGTATTGATTCTTTCTAAAATGGGAAGCTATTTTATATACTGCATTCCTATAGATTATTTTTTAAATTCTTACAAAGCCCTAGTGTTTGATGTATCATCCTTCATTATTGGAATCTTTTAATGACACACCTAATTAAATATTATTTGTTATTATAGACGTTGATATGAAATCTTTTTTTTTTAATTTTATCTTTTTTCCGTTTTGTGGCGATTTACAAATATAAAATAAATACCTTTTTTATCCGTGTAACCACTGCAACAGCAACAATTATATTTAACTTTTAGCCCAAAACGCGCGCACGTTTAGGCCAGGAGTAGTCCTTTGCCCTGTCTCCCTGTCTTTTCCCGTGGCCTTTTGTCTGGGCAACTCAAAAGGCCACAGCATGCAACACGTCAAAAGTTGAACGACAAGCGACCAGCTACAACAACTGTAGGGACAAGTGCAAGAGCAACAACCGAACAACCTGCCAACTGTCGACGTCAGCGCCGTCTAACAACATAAAAATTGTCGGCACATTGTTGAAATGCCAGGAAATTATGTGCAGCCCCAAAGGACGAATGGGCGAAAGGAAGGCCGAAAGAGCTGTGGGGGATAACAGCTGCCAGTAATTAAAATGAGCAATTCACATAGTGTAGCGGCAAAAACGTTGACCAGACCTCTGCCTAATGAGTTTATTAATTAAAAATCACTCTCATATATACATGCATGCACAGTTGCGTGCATTGAAATAGTATAAGCACAAAACAGATTTAAAAAAAACTAAAAATTTAGTAATAAAAAAAAAGTTGTTGTACATTCTATTGTATCCTGAAAATAAAGATTAAAGATTACGCCTACAAAAATATTTAAACGAATTAAAAATATACTAGTAACGGCTATAAAAGTCTTTAAAGAAATTTTATAATTATCCAAGGCATAATTAAGTCAGCCACTTTACAGTCGGCATTCATTAAATGCCCTTAGACTAATTTATTTTAATTGAACCTCATAGCTGACTCTTAATATTGCCAAAACAAATCTGAAACTCCCGCTTTGCTTTTCCCCCTAATTTCCTTAAATTTATTAACCCACATTAACCACATTCCGGCAAAATGTTGCTCATGGGGCCTTCGTAATGTGCCTCCAAAGCAATATTATAAGTTGCTTTAGGCTTTTAAAACTTTTCACTTTCAAGAGGAAAGTGCGGTTTGGTATCTCTTTTGCGGCAAATCAACTTTCAAACTGAATGCTAATGAATCATTTTTGCCAGCCCACTGACCGCAGTCGGTAAAGGTAGCGGTAGTTGGCCCACGCCCTGTATTAGTGGTTCTTGGCGAGGCCAAATTTATGTTTGTGGCCTGTTCAAGCAATAAACAAGACAAAGTATTAAAACATGAAAAAGGACTACAAAAATTACTGCAAAATTTAATTAGCACTGATTTTTGTATCTTTTATTTATCATGATAACTATATTTTTATATAGTTTGCCTAGAAAAAGTAACAAAAAAGAAACTAACGCATTCTTCCTCATTCTTAAAAAAAAATAGAATAAGAAAAATAATTCGAATGAAAGTGGGTTAAAAAATGGAAAGATAAACGGAAATCGAAAAATAAAATTAAGCGAAGCAATCAAAATAAAACTGTAATTTGTAAAAGCATATAATAAAGTAATAGCATACTTTTTTCTTGTTGTTCGGTAAAATGTTGCTTGTTTTTGAGATGTAAAACATTTAATAATTGTAACAAAACTTAGATAAATATAGACAAGCTGTACAAACTAATTAAGCTCGTAATTTATTTAGATAGAAAGAAAAAGAATCGGCCACTAAAGTTTTTCATACCGTACATTATAAGCCGTAATCAAAGTTTGGCAAGTGCTCTAACAGTCGACGGTCTATTTCTAAGCAAATTGCAGACTTATTAGCCGCCACTGAATTATATACCACTTGTAAGTACCCCAGAAACGAAGCAAACAAAGGGGGAGCTTAAATTTTCTAATATGCACGGCTCAGGCAGCTAGGTAAATAATTGATACCAGTTTTTCAGAAGGAAGACCGTGCCAGTGTTCTTTCGGGCTCTTTTTATGGTATTAAGTTATTATGTGCTTAAACCTAAATATAATGCCGAAGGCTTCAGATGTTGAACGCCAGCCGTGGCTGTGCTTTTATTGTTTATTGAGAGCTGGGCCGATGTAACAGGCCGATTTAACTGTCTCACCACTCTGCCAACACAAAGGAGCAGTGCTGCCTTCGTTGAAACATCTTAAGTGCAGCTTCGAGTTGCTGTTATTCTTCGTTGCCTTCCATTTCCATCACACAGGAAATTGTTATACTTAATGGGTTTTTCCCAGTCTATGCCCGTTGGAGGTAAGTGGGCAACCTTTAAATGTTAAATGGAGCCCGCTTAATAATTGATTAGTTTGAGGCTCACAAGTAGTTAAGTCCCTTACCACCCAATTCTTGGGCACAGAGTGCGCATTGTAGCAATTACAGCTCTCCCAACAAATTTGCAAATGCAAATTGATTTTGCGGATAGATTTCAGGTTAATACAACATCTTACTCCTTGTCCGACCTTACATGAAAATTCTAAAATTTAATAATATGCCAATTTAAGCTTTCTAACTTCCTGACCTAACAGAAGAATTTTAAAGATTTTAATACTTATTCGATAAAAGGTATTTAAAAGCAGAAATATATTAGTTATAAGCAATTATTTTAATAATTATTAATAACTATTATATTATTGCAAATATGATTTATTTATTCTTTATACTTACTGGCAATATGTTCGTTATGAAAGGCCAACATGATCGGTATTTTTTTTGGTACTTTTGTTTGAATTTCCGTTTCCCAAATTATTTTTTAGAGTCTTATTGCACAGATTTTATTGTTCCTGATAATTCTCGCGTCTGCAATATCACACCTGGATTTGTTTCAATTTAGACGTTGCTAGGACCTGGAAAAACAAAAAGAATTTTATTTAATTTTCGTAGGTCATTGAAAATATATTTCAAGATTATTAATATATAGTAAATTTATTATGCAAATATATTTCTAACTTTATGGACTTTAATAATTTTAACAAGGGTATGTTCCGTTCGGGGGACATACAATTTTAGTATTTTTTTTTGTAGAAACCCGCCAAAAACTATTGTTTTCCGTATACATATGTACAAATATGAAGCTCGCCATTACAAGAGTGGGAGTAGTCGCCCTTTGATTTTTAGTTAGACTCTCAGTAAGTTTGACTGCGCAACTGTGTGGCATTTCCGCTTCCGCAACGGAAGATAATGGAAATGGAAGGGAGCAATTGCGAGGGTCCAAATGACTTGGAAATTCCAAGCTGGAATTGAAAAACAATGCACAAGCCATTTTTAAATAAATAAAGGGCACTAAAGAATTCTTCCTTACATGAAGCTAACCAAGTTTGTGTCTGGAATTTAAATATTTCGGTGTACAAATATTCTGCCATCCCCAGCCCGGTATGCTTTAATTCGCAATCGAATCAAAATAGGTTTAAATATTATTCTTTAAATAAATAAGGTTTAAATGAGGAAAGCTGGTGATTAGAAATTAAAACTTGTCTATAATCTTTTGTAGTAACCAATCCACACCCAACAAAAAAATTTAATTTTAAAATTTGACTTAATATGCGGCATCTTAATTTGATATGCTTAAAATGTACACCACAACTTATAGGTAGGCCAGTTCCAATTTCGAATGTATCTTTCTCCCTCCCACTAAATTAACTTTAAGCTCTATCTTGCTATATTTCGAATTGAGAGAAATTGTTTTTCTCGCTCCCACCGCGGAATTTAGGGCGCCATATTGTTTCTTTCTCTCTTTTTCAAAGCCAGAGATCTCCATTAAAAAGAATTCGTTTAAACTACATTACTCAATATCAATTTTACCAGTATTGTATGGTAATATAGATATGCGTATAAATACCATAAATTTAAAATGCGCATATCGATTTGATTCCTACCTGTTTTCTTTTGTGTGCATTTTTATTGGCAAAATCATTAGACTACGTCAAAAAGGTGTGACGAGTAAAGTACCATTTCCATCTCCCGCCCTTAAATGCGTCTGGTAAATCTTTAATGAGAGACCTAAACGCACTCCAAGTAAATATCGATTTTATTTTCTTGCTAATTTTCTGCTCGTTATTGCTGTTCCTGCCCCCGAACAACAGGACAGCACACACGTGGGCCAGTGTTGAGCTGCTCCTTTTTTGTCCTCAACCAAAAAACAATGAGCTTTCCAGCTAGCTTCTTTCACTCTCGGTCCCTCTCGTTTCTGCCTTCTGTTGGCCAGGCTATGTTTGTGTTGTCTGCAACTTTTCTGACCATTCAACCAAAATAGTCCGGGACATTGTAGCAAAAACAAAGGCGGGGGGAGGTTTACCAAGGACTGTGAGGACGGCTACTGTGGGGATGAGGTTGATGATGACGATGACGACGTTCACGTCGACAGACTTCCTGACTTGCTGAGTTTCCTGCCTCAGCTTGCTGTTTTTATAAACCACCACTGTTAACTTTAAAAAGGTATATTGGGCTAAGCTAAGTCAGAACGGCTTATCTAAGCAGGGTATCTTTTGGTTCGCTAGGACCAACTACATTCTTATGCTTGTTTGGCTCTTCGTACAAAACACAAAACTTCGGGTGTAGGATTCTGATTTGCATTTACCAGTCTACACCCCCGTCTTCCATTTCCATTCTCATTCCCATTTCACTTTACTCATGCAGAAGCCTAAGCAATTGGTTTATCTGTGTATATGCTGAGATATACATACGTACGTCTGGATATCAGAACGCCCCGTGCAGTAGACATTAGATTTAAAAAACCCTAATGATGGTGATGATGATGGCCATGATGATACTGCAGGTGATTCCTCTTCGCCGGTCGACAATGTGATTTCCTTGTTATTGGCTAACTACTGTTGAATTATGTTAAATGAGGTTTTTATTAGTTTTAGTCTGCCGTTACCGACTACTGGCTTTAGTCGTAACCCATTAGCATGGCGTACAAATTCCATTGTTTTGGCTTTCTGTTTAGCCCGCATTTATCTTCTCTTTTCCCACCCGCCGATTTTCGGCCAACATAATGGAATTTTCGTGTAAACAATTTGCATGCTTTTAGCTTTACCTCATTTACATGGTATGTTCTAAGGACAGAGAGAGAGAGAGAAAAGTCGAGGAATCTCTGCAGTGGAAGATTTACTTAATCAATTAATACATCAAGTCTTTTGTATAAGTTAAGGTAATAATTGAGAGATCTGAGATAGAGCAATTTTAATAATTTGTTTGTGAATAGCCCGCCCTAATGTGTTGGTCACCTTTTTGCTTGGCTTTCTTTCCATTAATTTCCGTAAACCCTCATTTGGCCTTTTTGTCCTTGTGTGAAACTGTTTGTCAGGCTTATGAGCTTAAGCGAGGACACACTCACATAGAAAGCGAAGAGATATTGCTGAGAAGATGAGCATATAAATTTACACAGTCAGAAAAAAGTTCTACAGTATAATTTTAAGAAGATGAAGTTTAAATGAAGTGAAAGTGTAAATTTACTGGAACCAAATGGAGCTTACCAAAATTAACTTAATTAGTGGAACTGGCTAAGTAGCAAGTTGGCTGCGTTTTTAAAATTTTTTTGTATTGGCAGAGTTTTGGCAAAAAGTTTTAAAAGGCCGGCGGTTGTCTTCTCTGCATCTTTATAGTATATACATACACACTCAAAAAAATTAATAGGTGAGCTATTTTGGATTAATGACAAATAAATTCTTTCAATAACGTACACCCAAAAAAACATTATATGAAACGATGATCGATTTTACGTTATGTGGTATCAATTTTGACTTGATATGCTCGCAATGTAAACGACAGGCCACTTCGAATTTCGAGTATGTCTCTTTCCTTCCCACTTTAAGCGCTATATCGCTCTTTTTCGAATTGAGAGAGTTTGAGAGTTTCTTGCTCCCACTTACGTTATTTAAGTTGTCACATTGCTTCTTCCCCTCTTTTTCGAAGTCTGGTAAAAACGATATGCGTATGCAATATCAAAAATTTACCATGCGTATACTGATTTGACCGCGACGTGTTTTTTTTGTGTGCAGGAAAATTAGGAAGGTTATAAACTTGTATTTTATAAAATATTTTTTTCCAACATCTTATAAAGGTCTGCTAGCTTACAAATTTATCTTCATAATATCAAAAGGGTTTTATATTTATATTTAGCAAAAGGAAGCAGATTACTCTCATTTCCAATTAGTTCCCGACAACTGCAACTGGTATATCTGCGTGTGTACATGTAGGGGCATAATAAGTCAAATTAAATAAATTTAATTACATAACCAGCCCAATGCCAGGCAGAAGAGGACCCATCAAGCCGGATACTCAACTTTTGCTAGTGAGTGTGTGAATGTGTGAGTGTGGCACAGGACCCACACCCAAACACCCGCACATCCTCCCAGCATCCCAGCATCCCCACTTGCCACTTACCCACACAACTGTCCCGTAGATAGACCGAGTTGTTGTGGCGCTGCATTTGTGCCGGAATGTTTGTGTGAATGCGCCTACTTAGCCTTTAGTTTCAAGTGCATGGCCTCTCCGGAACCCCACTCTTTATATAGGGGGATGTGTACCCCACAACACACACGGCTACCTCATCGGGTGCAGGTGCTCAAGCGGAGCCTCACACACACATTTGAGGCTGTGTACAAGTTCGTTTAGTCCTGGCCGCCGTTCATGTGAGTGGTGCTCTGAATCAGGAGCATAACCATCCCCATTTTCTCTGCACCCACTCCCCATTTTTATCCTGGTATGTGGTCCTCGTCCGCAATCGTCCACGAAACTCAACTGACTTTCTCCGCGGCTCCTCTCCACCTTCCCGTCTTTCCCGCCTTTCACCCGATTTTTCCTTTCTCTGTTTGACTTAACAAGTCGTCGGGGTGGCGAGTAATTATGAAAATTTTCAAAATGAGCTCTCGTCCTGCTCTCCAGTCCTCAGTTCAGTTTTTGAAAGTTGAGTACGAGTAATTAAAAATTTCGTAGTGTCGCTGGTACTCAGTTCCCCGGTCTAGATTTTCACTCCAGCCCCAAAACAGGATTGTCTGGCATATGCTTATTTAGCTGTTGTTCCCGGAAATTTGCAGGTATATGAATTTAAATTAAATTCATTTCGCTTTCCTATTTACCATACCTGCGGAAATATACAAACACTACACTTTTAAGCTGTGTCGGTGAATGTGTTTTGTGTTGGTAGGCTTCCTTTTAATTAGAAAAGCGAAAAGGCATTTAGTTCTAAAGCGTTTCCATATAAAAGCTAAACATTACTGCAATTAGTTTTGCTGGGATGCCTAAGATGGCGGGTGCCACATAAAAGTACTTTTAAAAGGCATTTTAATTGAGTTCATGTAGGATGAAAATTAAGTCTTAATTAAGTAAATATAAGAAAAACAAGGTTATTAAAAGGGGAGGCTGGCTATTAGTAGTGTTAGTAATATTTATCTAAATCATGGACATTAAAGAAGACACTTTACTCACAATCCGAATGGATAGAGTTAAGATACTAAATACCTTTACTTAAGCGGAAGTGTACCTTAATACTCTCTTTGTTTGCGCATTATTCTGGCCGTCTAATTTCATCTCAAGAATATGATGATGCACATTAACAACTTGGCCAGCCACAAAGCAAACAAAATGGCATTTATGTTAGTGTTCAGTGTGAGATAATGGTGTGAATGTCTTTAGTTTTGAGCTTAACTGTAGCAATGGACTGAAAAGCTTTAAAAGTACGAGTTTTAAGCCAACTTATGTGTGAGTATACGCTTTATTCAAAACGACTATAAAATGTTTTGGTAATATGAATTCATTACGGTGGATCGTAGGGTTGTTAAAAAATCAATAGTGGACACTATCGATGTTTTTGGATATCTATTGTGGTCACTATCGATACTATCGA